ATATATAGTGTGAGTGTGAATATTTATAATTATATATGTGCGGATATAATTCGGAGTATATATAAAATTTTAAGTTCGCTTGTATATACCTCTTTATCTACAAGTTATCACGAAATTGCACGAGAATAAATATACCATCTAGCGCATATCAACTCACACAGTCAACAACCCTCATTCTACCGGTGATTAGTGGATTCATGACGACAAGTTCTTTCTCCTACCTGGTTCCTGTTGTATCCGTTGTCGCATACGGTGTGACCTAAATTCATACCCGCTTCCCATATGAGGCTTGATATAGTTGATAGGGAAGACCCAAGTAGAAATGTAAACTTGAAGTAAGGCGGTATATTGTATATATACAGTACATAGGTTCGAACTTTAGAGCGCTCAACGCTTCATACTATCCCAGAGAATAACAAAATATATTTGGCTTAAAACTCTAAATTGGTGAGTGTCAGACGATAATAAGGAGCATAAGCTGACTCGTCAACTTCAATTATTAATGACAAGAAGCAACAAGTCAAGTCCCCAGTCAGCAACCAGTAGCCAGTAAACCCCAGCTGTATGTATTTACATGTTTTTCTCTCGTCTATTTATTTATGTGTAAATAGTACATAACCCACACACACACTCTCTCTCTACTAGACTAGTAGAGACTGGAGAGAGTGTGGTTTACATACTACATCCGAGGTCCTACATATTTACAATTTACAGTATGTACAATTGTACATAATAGACGGGCAGGGCAGGGCGGGACGCTGGACTCTTGACTCTGGAATCTGGACTTGTGTGAGTCGGGAATTCGGGATTACTGAATGGGACTTGGCCACTCAACAGTCCAAGTAGAGTCAAAGCTATTTAAAATAAATAAATTTGTTTCTTTCAACAAAAATATGTAGACAATGTATATATTGTTTTTAATTTTTAAATACTACATTCTACGACTCGAGTCTACGGATGACAGTATTGTATAAACGGTACAGTATCTGCAATTTAAAAAAATATATCAGTTGAAAACTAGTCATTTGCGACATAAAAATCATTCACAAACTCAGTTGGAGGTACTCGAATAAACCAAAAGGCCATAATATAAGCCGATCAAACATGAAAAAAGGCTAGATTTGCCCTTCACAGGAGGATATAAACAACAGTGAAAAAAACCCCCCCTATTTCCATACAGAGTGTCCAGTGAGTTGCAACAATTGTTGAACAAAATTTGGACGTTGTTCCTATGCCGGAACAAAAATTATTATATTTTACAAACACATAAATATACGCTCATACGTTGGCACTAATATACACACTCCTCGGCCCCTCTAAGTGTTTATTTACGTAAATACATATACAGCGCCCGCATACCTGTGTGATCGAGGTGCCCAAAGAAGCACAAATTAGCATAAATAGGCATGTCTTCAGAGCAAGAAATGAGCGAGGGATCCTCCGAGATAGTACCCGTCAAGGCACTATCGTTCGGGCCAGACTACGATACTAAAGCACGCCAAAACAAAGATGTACCACCTCCCAACGCTAATTTACTGTCAGAAGAGGAATTATGGGACGGCGATGGCAAGATCGATTGTGAATTGGTATGTCGAAACATGAGCGATTTACTGTTGTGTAGTCAATGGTATACTATATATTGAGTTTTCTCGAACGCAGGAGAAAGGTTCACTAATTAACACAATCGCTAACGTATGTATCAAGAAGGGCCGGAGCATATAAGTATTGGTACGGCCGCCTTTAATTATAACAATTCATTCGTTATCTTTATATATATATATATATACTTAAATACATACTTGCTTGTTTACATGCATACATACATACATACACACATACACACACGCACACACACACACACA